CAGGAACACCCCTCTTGGCTTAAACCAGTCAGTTCAAATGAATACTCCTTTTGTAGTAACCAATCATCCCTACCCAAATTGTTCCAGCCAGTGAATGTGCTAATCATGTTTTAGAGTTGTTATTTGATTTTTCCGAGGTGTGTGATGATTTGCTAAGAGATGCTATGATGTATGTGGGGATCCCTGTGTTCTCCAAAGAATGTATAAAACTGCTGCAAACCCTGGGCTTGGGGCCTCTCAGGGTCACCAATTGCTGTGTGTGCACGGAGGACCCAGCTAGCTCGCAATAAACACCTCTTTGCTGCTTACTTCGATCTTGGGTCTCTGGTGGTCTTTTGGGGGTCCCGAATTCGAGCATAACATGATCAATTGATTACTTGAGTTAGGTAGAGTTTCAGTCTCCTCCTGGAAATGTACTGCCCAGTCTCCCTACTATATCCCTTGGCAGGAATCATTCAGCAGTGAGGATTTATGTTCCCCTTCCTTAAACATAAAATATCTACAGGAAATATTTGGAATTCTTCTGTAAAGGAGGTTTGGTTCCTCTCCTCCATTTATTTATTCATCTATTTTATTGACTTAATTCATTCATCTAATCATTTATTTATATTTCTAAGGACCCAGGTATATATGTTACAATTGGGATTATTACACAATTTTGAGTTAATTTTAATATTTTCTGGTACAGGGGACTCCACTCAAGGCCTGGAGCATGCTAGGCAGGTGCTTGGCCATTGAGTTATATTCCCAGCTCTCTCCCCTATGTTTTGTGGCATGCTTCTGTCTGACTTTAGATTTTATTCTGTGTGTACCCCAGATATGAAGTTTGGAGCTTCAGCTTTGCCCTTTCCTGTGATCATGGGTACTTCTGTGAGCAGGACTCTGGACTCTGGGACACAGATGAAGAATGTCATAGGAAAGGCATAAAGAACCCAAAGGTGAAGGCCAAAGTTCGGGCCATCACCTCATGGCTCTTGTCCTCTCTGGAAAAAATAGAACTGTATCCAGCTCTTAGTAGATCTAATTGAATTGGTAACTACTATGTACACAATTGCTTTTCCAGTTGTGTCTTGGATATTATAT